TTTAGAAACGCCATAATTACCACAGACGTGTCTCTTTCCTGAACGCGAAGTCTGCACTGGAGCTGGGTGGAGATACCTTAAGAAAAATGAAGTCTGTGCTATAAATCCCTAGCAAAAGCTTGATTTTATTCATACTCGTACAATCCTTCGGTTGTAAAGCATGTGCTCCAACTTTATTTATCATATACTTTAAAGGTTTTGCTTCATGAATTTGAAGCGAAAGCATTTGCTACATTTTATTCATGAGACCCAATATTTGCTGACACGTGGATAACGTACTTAGCGTAAGCAGTATACCGCGCGACAGTTTTAATGATTTTTTTTTAACTTAACTCCGTATATTCCAAGAACCACCAAGCTGTCGAAAAATGTAAGAAACTTTTTTAGAGCAAATTTTGTTTTCCATAAAAAAAGATATGTCTTTATAATGCTTAGATTGTTAGTTTAGCCATCAGAACATGTAGCTTTATCCTTGAATTTCTCGTAAATTGATGATAATTCGGAAACTTGTTATAGAAACAAATTGATATAGAACTTAATTCCCTATAAAATGGTGGCTAATGCCACAGCCCTATCTTGATGTCAATTCAATCATCATTAGAAACCATTATTCTAAGCACATCACCAAAATTTTCTTCTTCACTTAATCTGGTATTTTATTATTCGAAATTTCCCTATTGCCTGCCCTAAATGCGTAGTTGATAATAGGCCCGCTTGACCGGTTCACACGACACTAATATTTTTCATTCAACTTTTAAAAATGTTATTCCAGTGCTCCGCTTTCTGAAATTAAAAGTAACTCATTCATCTATTCTTTATCATAGGAAAGTCGGTAAGATATAACTACGTCTTTCGTGACTAAATGACGACTTAGGGGAGGGCCCTAACAAATCCCTTTCAAAGTTTGTGAATCGCCAGTATCTACTCTGGTTTTGGAAATTGGGAACACTAATCCATCTACTTGATAAGCATAATGCACTCATCGGAAAATCGGTAAAAGATTGCCGAAGTATTGGTTGAATAGCGATTTACTTCTGTGATGAGACTTGTCTACTTGTCTATTTTATACGAGCATCCCACATTAGGAAACTTGAAGCATCTCATTCAACTATTTCACACGCTCTAGTCTAGACTTTGTTGTCGGAAAGACTATAAGATATCGCCAAATTACGCCTTATACTCGTTGGCGATTTATTGTTGCGAGTGGCTTTGGCTGACCATTCTCTTTCAATATATGTATTTTCAATATTGCTGAATTAGAACTGTAAAATAGGAATTAATCTCCGATGCCTTGTTTCACTGTGTAAGCACAATGTAGATAGTAATTCAGGTGAATAACAGAATAAAGTTCAAGTTTCAGATAAGTGCGCTATGATTTTTCAAGGATATTGATCGCGAACAATATTGATTCACTCATCTACTGACAGGAAATAGCTTATTATATGATAAAGAGATCTCTCATTCATAACGATAGACTAAAATACAACATATGACTTCATTTCCTCTGTATTGTAAACGCCTACTTAAGAATCCAACGATAAAATCAATATACTTATGTTTGTATAAGGCTTGCGGTTTATTCGTGATGAATGTAACATGTTTCTAGGAATTTCCCATTCAATAATACACTGAAATTACTATTTATTGCCGAGCTTTCATTCATTGTTACGTACGATAAGAAATAAGAAAATGAATGTGATTTTTTATTGAGACTTGATGGTGGCGATTTGTTTCAAATTGGTGAAAATTGGTGCATAAATAAAATCAAGAAAATCAGTAATTCCTGTTCACTGACATTTATAGCACCGAACATTGCTAATGAATCGTTTCCGTCTAGTTATTTCCCCGAATATTTCGTGTATAAAAAATGCTATAAGAGGTGTGAGATTATCCCATAATTACAGCGAAAATTTTCCGATACCTAGACAACGGGAAATTTTCAGTGAAAATTGCCCAGTAGGTATCGAAAATTGCCCTATAGGACCGTATTTATAGTTACAATTGATGAAATGTGCATTTGTCATCATGACATGCATAAATATGGGAAACTCGGGAATTACACTCGTGCATCAAAATAAAGCTGTCAATTTGCAATTCAAGCATGCTGTAAGGAAAAAAAACGCACTTCCAAGAATTTCATAGGTAAAATAAATGTTTGTTCTACGGTCATCTGAATTTCCTATTACGTCCCACGCCACTGGCGAGGAAGTACTGGTAATCCCGAAAAGTTTCGTAATTGAGGTCTATGTTATTTTGGATGTTGTACATCACGAAAAACCATGTCACTAATTTCCTTCTGTCTATCTGTTCTGTCTTGTCTGTCTGTGGGTCTGTCAGTCCGCTAATTCTTGGCATCGCTATAACCTGCCGGATTTTGATGCAATTTTTACACAAGGTTCCTACTATGCTAAAGCAAAAAAGCTTCTAGCATAACTGGAATTAGTCCAGTGCCGGCGCAGTTAGGTAGGCTGACGATTTTTAGATATAATTACAGGTCATAATTTTAGAAACACTTTAAATTAAGAATTCAATTATATCCATTTTATATAACATCACCAACTACGTAGTCATGCCATAAGTTCTGTCCCTCGTTTTCAAACAAGTGTAGACCTGTTAATACTTGTCCGATTGTTTACATTGTGGTGTCAGTTGATTAAGCGCTTTTCGGGTAATTACATATACCTCAGTTTGTATTGATCTCTCGAAACATAACGATGGAGTGGGGCAAGGCAGAGAACCGTATTGCAGTGATAGCTTTACATAAGTGTAATCACAGTGCTAGTCAGATTTTTGAACTCTTACGCGGCCTTCAAATATCGCGTAAATTTGTGTCTAGGACCATTCAGCGGTACAATGAGACGTCCTCTGTTGATGACAGGCCAAGAAGCGGAAGACCTCGTCAAGTAAGGACTCCAGCAGCCATCAAAGCCGTAAAAGCCAGGATTCAAAGGAATCCACTCCGGAAGCAGAAGATCCTATCCAGGGAAATGAAGATTCCTGTCCGGACGATGTCGCGCATCATTAAACAAGACCTAGGGCTAGGGGCTTACCGGAGACGTACGGGCCAGCGACTTACGGCCACCTTGCGACACATCAGGGCGACAAGATCCAAGAAGCTCTTGGAGAGGTACGCAGCTGGGGGATTCCGAAAGATTTTGTTCACGGATGAGAAAATCTTCACCATAGAAGAAAAATTCAACCGACAAAATGACAAAGTGTATGCAAGGAGTTCACAGGAAGCTTCGGAGATCATTCCGAGAGTTGAGAGAGACCACCACCCTGCGTCAGTCATGGTTTGGTGGGGGGTGTCCTACGAAGGGGTCACTCAGCTCCATTTCTGTAAACAGGGCGTGAAAACAAAAGCGGCAAACTATCAGAGCGACATACTGGATCCTATCGTCAAGCCTTTAAGTGGTACATTGTTTGCCAACCAACACTGGCTCTACCAGCAGGATTCCGCCCCCGCTCACAAGGCTAAGAGTACGCAGCGCTGGCTGGAAAGCAATGTGCCAGAGTTCATTGCTGCGGAAGATTGGCCCTCAGGGAGTCCGGACCTCAATCCTTTAGACTACAAGTTGTGGGACCTCCTAGAGCAGTTGGCCTGCTCCAAAGCCCACCGTAATATTGAGTCCCTGAAAGCGGATTTGATCCGATCAGCGGCAGCTATTCCTTTGGAAGCTGTGCGTGCAGTGATAGATGAGTGGCCCGCGAGATTGAAGCAGTGTGTGAAGGCCAAGGGGGGACATTTTGAATAAAACTGTTTGATTATGAATTCTAAAAATGTTGTCGAATAAATAATATCTTTCATATAAATATATATCTTATCTTGTTTCATTTTTATCATGAGATTATCATGGGACAGAACTTATGGCACGACTACGTATAATGGTTTCCATGACCGGCGAATAGTAACGATACCAGAATGTACAAAAGTTGACTTAGATACGCTCCATTCAAATTCCATTTGTCTATAATTGCGCCGGGAAGTACAGATTGAATCTGATTGACTCCATTTTTTAATTTTGAGTTCAGGCATCGCTGAAACATTGAACTATATTGTATTATATTAAAATATATATTTATGTGCATTTTTTACCCTCATTTAGTTACATATATATACAAGGATTTTAGACATTTACGTCTATTTTTACTGCATTGTCGTTTATCTATCGTTTATTTTTTAGTTTTCAAAAATATCACGTTACTAAGTTCAATAATTAAAGAAGTTATTCTCCACAAACAAAATTTTCTGCTTAATCAGAATAGTCCTTGGAATCTTTCTGCTAATTTGTTTAAAAATCGTCGGCTAATGCTTTTTAGCAATATTCATCTTTTTTGATAACATCGCTCAAATGGCCCAATCAATAGTTATAACTGATTATAACCTTTGGAGATAATCAATTTTGGCGACAAATCCCCCATACGATATCTGTCACAAAGGTGAGATAGGGCACAGTTGTCACTATGTGCGGTCCTCTAACTCTGGTTTTATTCTCGCCTCAAGCTGACAAATGAGCGTATATTCTTAACTAAAAAATATTTTACGAGTATCCATCATGTTTTAACGTCTGCTGAGGTTAACAGCTAATCAGCAATCAAAACTAGTAAAACTTGCTTGCACTGTTTTTTAATGCAAATGAACTTTTCTAAATAAAAGAGTTGTTAGCAAGTACAAAATTAATCTATAGCGTACAAAAATCGAAAACAATATACTGCTCTGACTACCTGAATTATGTTTCATTTGTCGATATGGGGAATTTTGATATATTACTAAATAATAATCTGTTATTCTACAGTAATGGATACACGTGAAAAAGATGAAATACTTGTGGACATTTTGTTTCGACCATAACATATGTCTCATCATTTTAAGACCTATGTTTATTTGAACGGTTAGTGATATTTTTTTCTACTATAAAAATTAGAAATACTGCTACTGAATCAACCCTTCAAAATGAAAGCAAAAACGCACCTATTTCATTTTCCTTATTTTGTTGCAGACGAAGCGCGGACAAACAAGAAAGGTGTGCTGGTCCATTGCCTAGCAGGCGTGTCGCGCTCTGTAACCATCACAGTCGCCTACTTGATGTATAAGTGCTCCCTTAACCTGAACGACGCTTTCAACGTGGTGAGGGCCAGGAAGTCGAACGTCGCTCCCAACTTCCACTTTATGGAGCAGCTGCACAACTTTGAACGGGAGCTGAAGCTGGACGTGTCATCGCAGAGCCCCCTGCCCCTGCTCGAACAGATGCGACAGACGGTAAGCTGAAACGAGGCGCGTCACTTTTCTTCTTTTTCTCTTAGCTTGTCAAGGTCATTTATAAAGGTTTTATTTTGTTTGTATCTTTCAGATTAAACATGATTGCTACAATTACATTCTTTTAAAAAACTACAACAATTACATAACATACAAATATTCAGATAAATAAAACTGCCATGTCAAAGAACTTTCACTAACCAGGAAATGTTTCTTTAATTTTCTTTAAATCATCGCTAAATTACAAGTTATTATTTAGTTTACTGAATTCAAGTAATCCCTTCTGAAATATTGATTTGCTAGTTATATTACTATTGTAATTTTGTAAATGGAAATCTGTATATTTCTTCTTGTATAATCATTGTGGTAATGATTATTCAATTCTATGTAATGTTCTAAATGTTGTGGCAAAACATGATTTTTTATTTTAAATATGGAAATAACCAAATATATGAACATTTGTATATTCAACCATTGCAATTCTTGTAACATAGATTTTATTTTTTTGTAATTATTTATATTCAATATTATTCTCATAGCTTTATTTTGTAGGACCTATAATTTCCAGAAAACAGCTTCATTGGCAGTGTTCACGATAGTTGAACAATATAGTAAATAGTATAATTGTAATATACACTGTTTTTTGGAATATGTGGGATATGAGAAACCCTATAAAAGTAATTTGTTATTTTCGGATTTTTTTAAACAATCTATTCATAGTGATCCTCAAACTTTAGTTTACGTTCAATATATATATATATATACAGGGTGCCAATAATTAATAATTTCTTCCTAATTGAACCTCATCGATCCAGTTTCTTGTTTGTTGACTATGTGTTCTTGTCGACTTTCGTCTAAGAACAAGTTTAGGAACAATCTTGCCGACTTAGTCCTTATGATGATGGCATAGACCATCGAAAGCTAGAGTTTAAGTTAAAAGAGTGTATCTATGCAAAACTTTGCGTTTATCCCAAAGAAATATATATATATATATATATATATATATATATATAGGGTGGCCCATCCATGTGTGGACGGAATATTACTCATAAGCAAATACATTTTGGGAAAATCTATTTATGGGATGTTATCCATGACATTTGAGGGCGTATTTCTAAAATATTGGCCATTGTACATCAAAGTTTACGATTTTTCAAATGGAATGCCTCAAATTTTATTGCACATCTGGATAATTCAATAGAAAAAAATTTATATAACATACTATAGGGTTTTGGTAATTAGCTACTGAGATATAAGGTGTTTTGTTTAGAAAAACCCCCCACTTCGGCAACCAATCAGTCCGCCATTTTGAAATTTGGAGTGCTCAATTTTGTATAAAAAAACGAAACTTACACACCTCAGCTTTTATCTTGTTTGTTACTTTTTCGAATTTTCATTTTTTTCATACAGGGTGGTCAAAAACGCGAATTCTGCTTTTTCTCAAAAATTTCAAATGCATCACCCTGTATATTTGTGCAAGTTTGGATTCAATTTTTTATAAGATTTTTTTAATACTAGACACATAAGGATTTTTATTGCTATTTTTTCGGTTATTAGCACGTATTTTATGGAACGGCTTAATTCCCTAAAATATCGCATCATCCTGGGAAACAAATAAATTGTTGATTAGCTACAAACTGTGAAAATTAGCTTTGTGAGCATTATAATAAAAACATGTTTGAAAATGAATTTTTCTAAAGAAGAAATGGTGAATATGGTGTTCGTTTTGGGCGAAGCCCAAAGATATAGTTTCCTAGCATCTCGCATTTATAAGCAACGGTACCCTAATATGCGACATCCAAGGCTGGAAACATTTTCCACGCTACGAGAACGTTTTGAATTAAGTGGAGCAGTGGAATATAGTAAAAAATGTATAAATAATCCAAGTTTTACCAATGAGGCGAATCAGTTGGAGGTTCTATTAATGTTGCAGGAAAATCCCCATTTAAGTGCACGGCAAATTGGAGCAGAACTGATATATGCAGAACTTCTCTCATAAGGATTATGCACAAGCATAGGTACCATCCATATCACCTATGCTTGCATCAAGGCCTTCGTACTCAGAATTTCGCAGCTCGAATGGAGTTTAGTAGAATAATGCTAAATAAAGTGAGTGAAGACACTATTTTCCTGGATAAGGTTCTTTTTAGCAATGAGGCAACTTTTAACAGCATTGGTGTTGTCAACAGGCTTAACATGCACTATTATGCGACGGAAAACCCTTACTGGGTTAGGCAAATAGATTTCCAAAATAAATGGAGCTTGAATGTTTGGGGAGGAGTTATTGGCAGACAAGTTATAGGGTCTTTCAGTTTCGACAACAGATTAACAGGTACAGAATACTTGAATTTTCTGCAAACTCGGATGCATATGTATTTCCAATATGACCGCGCACCTGCACATTATCATAATCGTGTTCGTAACTATTTGGACACCTGGAGTAACAATCGTTGGGTCGGTCGTGATGGGCCTATATTTTGGCCTCCTAGATCACCAGATATGACATCGATGGACTTCTTTCTATGGGTCTACGTTAAGGAAGAGGTTTATAGATATCCACCATCTACCACGGAAAATATGAAGGAATGATTAAGGATGCTTTTCTGAACATAAGGGAACATGTGCTGAGGATGTGCAATGGTCATTTATCCAAAGACTACGACTGTGTATTCAGCATGGTGGAGATATTTTCGAGCAATTTTTGTATATTAGGTCTTGAGTAGTGATGGTTGTTTTTTTATGTTGTTATAGTTGTTTCACTCTATTACGCTTGACGTTGATTTATACTGTTCTGATTATTAGTTTTTACGTCAAATCTGTACTCTTAGTGGCAATATGGAACTAGCCCACTGTTTGTCTTTTGTTTCCATGGATGATGTGATTTTTTTCCTTAATTTTGGTGTTGTTCTATTAAAAGCTTAATTACTCAAAATCTAGTGATTCTATATGAATCAGACCTTATACCAAAAAGAAGCTTATAAAAAATTGAATCCAAACTTGCACAAATATAGAGGGAAATGCATTTGAAATTTTTGCGAAAAAGTACAATTCGCGTTGTTGACCACCCTGTATGAGTAAACACGAAAATTCGAAAAAGTTACAATTAAGATAAAAGCTGAGGTGTGTAAGTTTTTTTGATACCAAATTCAGCATTCCAAATTTCAAAATGGCGGATTGAGGGGTTGCCGAAGTGGACGGTTTTTCTGGACAAAACAGCATACATCTCAGTAGCTAATTACCAAAACCCCATAGTATGTTATATCTATCTAATATCAAATATTTTAGAAATGTGCCCTCAAATGTCAACTGCCAATGTTAAACATTTTACGAGGATAGTCAGTACTTGGTTGACCACGCATGGGACTTTGCCTCTTTGTAACATTGAAAACAGCAACTGAGATTTCTAATTTTTTACAGGAGAAAAAGACTAAGAGGAACGACCGCACCAGCGGAGGCGACCAACCCCCAAAGCAACAACCGTGCAAGAACTGCGGCCTGACGGCAAAGGATTGCAAATGTAAACAGCACACCGAGTTCCTGTCCCCGTTGGCTCAGATCGGGGTCAGCCCCGATTCGGGGATCGAGTTCGACCGATGGGGCTCCGGCACGCCGGGTGAATGAGACAGACAGGGAGGATCGCAGTGGCAGTTCTAAGGCGGAGCATTTACTATAAGACTCATGCGGGTCTCACGTAGTCGTCTCTCTCGCACACACACACATACACGTGTTTTACGAGCTAAATAGTTTTTGTCACTTTGCGTTTGTGATAGCGGGCGCAGCTTAGATAATAATCAGCTACGAAACTTTCCTGCCAGTGTCAAAAACCGCCGCCATTTCGGCGGAGAAAATGGCATATAAATTCCCTTAGTACAACGATGAAAGATGTTTTGGTCTTCAGCACCAGCCGGTATTGCCCCGTACCATGACAGCGGTCGTGAACCAATAATAAAAAGGAATTATGTTTATCCAAAAATAAGCGACGAAGTATTAATGACTATTCATTAATGAAACTTTAAAATAAATTGTAACGGTGGAAGTATTTACAATAAACGGAAAAATATTCTCGTATGCCATGTATCCTTCGCTGCTGCCATACATTCAGTCTATTGCATTTTCAATGTAAACACCGATAAAACACTAAGCAAACACAGGATTCACTGAATCACACGAATTTCCGTGCATTTGTTGTGGAAAAAAACTAGAGCAAACCTTCAGTAAAATGACAACCAACGCAATCTAACCGCGACAAAGGCTCTGAAATTCTTGTGATTTCGTGAACGTTGTATTTATCTAGCGTTTTTAGCAGTGCAATGGATTTGTAATATCACAGCAGCGTAGAATACATTGCTAAAGTAAATCCTTTTATTGTAAATACTTCCACCATTACAACCACCATTTTTTATACTCCAGCTACCATGAAGGCCTAAACACCCGTGGGGTTATAGGGGGATACAGGGGAAAAGGTGAAAGGGAGGGGATGCCACACGGACGAGGGAACACGTGCATGCAGCATGCACACATTCTGGCCCCGCCTACGAGATCCTCGGGTGGTACCTCCGCATACGACAGTCAGAGACCGTCTACCACCTACGGATAATCACAACATCCATAGCCAAGAGAAAAATTTCTCTTGGTACGGGATTCGAACCCTCGCAGCGCACAGCGTCTACCCGTGCGGCCACCGCTGCTGCCTGAATTTTGAAGCTTTTTGATAAATAAATAGTCACCAATACTCCGTCGCTTGGTTTTGTACATATTCCTTTTTATTATTGATTCACTCAAACTACACTAGATCATATCAAAATATTATCACTTTAAGATTGCTGGCTTGATACCCGGCAACACCGGCTGCTGTTGAACATATAAAACCTCTTTCATCGGTGTACTAGGGGAGTTTACATGCGACTTTCTTTGCCAAAATGGCGGTTGTTTTTAACAGTGACAGGAAAGTTTCATAGCTGATTGTTATCTAGGTGAATTCACACCATCGCAAAGAGTGATTTTCTCGAAGTACAAAATCTAATCGACCATTTTAGTAAGGTATCATTGATGTTCAAATCAATCCTCAGCCTCCATTTCTGTTTTTGAAGCCTTTTGTGCTGCTGAAATAATAAAATCTGAATGGTAATATAATGTTAGAAGAACTGCAGTGCTTGAATATAAAATATGTTTAGTTCTCATTTTCATATTCAAATTGAAAAATTATTTATCACAAAATTGAATGGTCATTATCATAACTACTAAACTAGAGGGAGTATATAGATTTTCATCTGCCAAATTGTAATATTAGCAAAAGTAGAAAATATGTGTTTCAAATGGGAGTATTTGTATTTAATAAATTGAATAATGATATTAAACAGAGTTCGGATTTAAAAATGCTTAAGGTGAAATTAAAAAATCACTTTAAATACCTAAAATGTATATCGATATAACTTTAATAGACAAGAATGTAAATTTACAGAAAATTGTTTCAAAAAATGTATAAAAGAATTAATTATACAAAATTGACATTGTAGCATTAATGCTAAATAAATCTTCAACATGCAAACAAAAAGTCTCAACTGCAGCAGTGAAACATTGCCAGATTGTCACCTTTACGTGATACGCTACCAACTAAAGTTTTAAAATTGTTCTCTCTTCTCTAACAGACAGGACCCTTTCGCATCCGCGGGCCGTAGGCGATATACATAGCTTTCTTCTACCGCTATACCAATGGGCTTTGCTCCTTAGAGTTCTCCTCCATGATTCCGTCCCGCGATGTGCCTGCCAGATCCGCCTCCCATCCTAACCGAGTGGCAATTCCTAAATTCAGAACTGGCCGACCAGAAACATGAGGAAGCTATTCTTAGTTCTACTAATCTTAGGTTGTTCAAAAATCGGATTAACAAAATTTCTTGGGGTTCCTCATAGCAGCCGCTCTACGCTGCCATTTAGGCTTCAGCCTGCGTGGCTGCTTCGGTGTAAAAAAAGACAAACACAACATCCATCGCTCGACATTAACTTCCAAGGTGGATATTCGAACCCGCGAGCCTTCGAGTCAATGGAAAAGCAGCTGGACGCGCTAACACACTTAGGCTACCAGCCTCTTGGCTTGAGTTTATTGGAGTAGTTCCAGAAAGTGAACGAAAACAACGGTCACTGGTTACCCAGTTGCGTTTGGACAGTATTCAATTTCTCAAGCTCCACGCATGATGTACTTAGTTGATCAGTTTACTTATTTCATATATCATTGATATGTAACAGACAAAATTTTTGAAAAGACAAAGTATCAGGAAAAGATGTAATCGATATTTTCAAATTCAATATATGAACCATAATTTCATTTATTCTGTTTAAAGAAGCCTGTCATGGAAGCAGGAACATCAGTAACCTTAAAGAATGATGGATATGCTGAGACCTACTGTAGATATGTCAAGACTTAATAATACTTGTACTTAACGAAAATTTCACCACCAGACCAGATTAGTAGCTGCTGACTCCCTGGAATTTCCTGGCTAGTTCAAAGGTAGAAATGGAGAGAAGTGCTCAATTTGATAATCAGTGCCAGTTACCGACATATAAAGCATTTTTTGACTTTGGTATAAGCTTTCCCGAACTATGAGTATTAAGCGTTGGTCATAAAACATTCTTCTCAAATAATGGGCAGGAAACTTAAATAAAATCTAAATTGCTCTCGAGGCACTACTTTGAAACCATGTGTTCAGGTACAGTATGCAAAAACCAAAAGTTCGCCAATTTTGGCCTAACAGACCAGGTTAACAATCTGTTTAAAATAATCTCAAAATACTCTTTGGGGCCTTGCAAGCAGGATTGAAACTTTAATTTCTATACTTGGTGACCTCAAAAATTATTTTAAGCATTCAATATATTCATTTCAGCCATGAAATTGTTTATAACTCAAAAATGGTCAGCTTTAGATTAAAGCTAATTTGAGGCATTTTTGTTTGGAATGATCAAAAAAAAACCAAAATTTGTCGGGCATAAAAAAATGTATTTTAATTAAAAGAATTGTTTTAAACAAACTTAATCTGGTTCACAGTAGGATATATCAAATGCTTAAAAACTCGGTAAAAAAGTAACTAAATTAAAGTCAAAACCTTACTCTAGAAGACTGTTTACATTAGCTTACTTTCAAGCGATTTCAACCTTGTTTTTCGGGGCAAAATTGGGGAACTTTTGGTTTTCAGTTCATCTTAAATATGCTCGTTTTATATTGACGACATAAATTTTCCATGAAAACGTTTATACCAAATTGCTGTCCAGTACCTTATAGAAGCTTGCACACTGAAGAGGTAATAACACAAAACATAATAGTAATAATCTTTCACTACATTGATCGAAGCCTACTACTTGTTGCTTCTCAATCCGCTTTGTTTTAATAGAACAACTATTTTTTTCTTCTTACGTGCCATACATGTTCGAAAAACTAGAGTCAAAATCACATATAATATTGCGCTTTCCAATAGTATGCATCCTTTAATATGCAATGGAAAGAAAGGCTCCTTCCGAAAAATTGCTCCCTTTTCGGAGATTGTCACTATCTTCTCAATGAGAAGTCTTTCAAGAAGAAAGAGAATATCTCAAAATGAGAACATTGTTGTCATCAAGCGTCTGTATTGATGACAGATTAAATTTTCGTTTGAAGAAATGTATCCACTTTAAACCAATGTACAAGGATGTTATATGTGATTTTAGGATGTCTAGTTGAAAGTACCTTTTTGTAATTATAAGGAATGTAAAGTAACGCGACTTAACTTTTTCAGGGCAGATTGAATTTTACTAGTAAATAGTCAGATTGCATATTCGATGTAATGTTACTGAAGTTAAAACAGGCCAAAGCATGTTTGTGATATCTGTACTAAGTGCTACTTGAAGATTATATAGTTTTCAAACATGATTATTTGGAGGACGAAAATTGTAAAGATCAAACGTTTAACAGTTATTAAAATATTATGTTTTCAATCTGTATTTTTTCAGCAGTCATGCTCATATGAAAAAGTTGATCATAAACAATGCGTTTTATTTTATTTTAATCGCATTGATGTAGATTAAGATTGAGACAATCCAGTCAGTATAACCTATAGGAATAAGGTTAATATTAGAGAATATACTTTGCACTAATATAACTCGGATATAATTGTGAGACCCGCATTTGAGTCAAAATGCCTAGTGTCATTGTCATCCTCCCTTTCATTTTTTATTTGATCGTTTTTCTAGATTTAAGCTTTAACGATCATTATGCTGTATATATGTTTTATCCATTTCATGCAATAAACTTCATTATTGAAATCAAAGGTAATCATATTTATGTATCTGCCATAACCAGATTATGGAATTTCTTACCATATTAAACGATATCTTCGAACACCGATTCAGCAAACATTTTATTTTGAAAATATAAAATTTGAAGCTTACTACGACGGTGGTGATTTAGACGTTAAGAGATGGATAGGTATGCTGCATTCTTCTCGCTTTAACTGTGTCGATCACGTCAAAGTCACTTTCCCGGTAGAGTACAAGAAGCTATAGAAATGATTTACCCCTGACACCAATAACAAAACTAGACTTCAAATTAGTGACATAAACATATAAATCATTCAGTTTGACTTCTTGTGACCGTAAAACATTCGTGAGTTTTATCCCCACTTTCCAAGAGTTCTCTGATTACCATTTTCATTTTGATCAGTAACACTGTTGCAGACTTGGTAGAATAAACTTTGCGTACCGTAAAATGAGGTTACTTTGCTGGTGCAAAGTCAATTAACATAGAAAAAGTGGTCTTTTTCTATGTTAATTTTTGTATTGATACGAATATCCATCGAAGAGAAGAAAAAACTACTTGGTATCAAAATTCATTATACGGGCCACAAGGAACCTGTACAAGTATTTTCAATGCAAGGTTGGTATTCGAATACTGGTATTCAGAATCCAGGATACCGAGTACTTACCAAAAAAGTAGTCAATCGAATACCAAATACGAACACACAAATTAATGTATTCTGGATAGGATTCAAAATACTTCTAGTATTCGAATCCTACCCAAGTCTGCACTGTTATGAAAATAATTAATGTGAAACAATATAGTGGTCATCCATATAGCATTCTGACAATTTTATTTGCATCTTTCCTACAATTAATTTGATAAAGGCGTTGAATATAATTTTCTAGCTGTTTACAGACACCATCTGAAATGTAAGTGGTTTTTCCATAATCTGGCTATACCGATTAATTATATGCGTAATATCTGCATTTTGAGAGAACTCGATCTCTATTTATAGACGTAGAGGAAGCCATAACTATTTTCATGAGAAATTGACCTCCGTAGTGCCAATAACATAGCAAATATACAGTATGTTCCCGCTAATTCATTACACGACCCAAGTATCATAAGGAGCGTAAATGCAGAACAAATACGTTTACGTAATCGTGTCCTCTTTTTTTATACCTAATAGCTCCTGTACATTAGCAGAATCAGTCAGCTTATTCGTTTGTGACTACTTTTTCTGGGTCAGAGCCCTGATCGAGTCACTGTGAAATTTTGATTTTCATGCTTAGATAAAATTGCTGCTTGGTTAAACTGATGTTGGGAGGTTAGTAAAACAGATAGCACAGCAGAAGTCAGTACTTTTTTCGTACCCGGGCAATAGGATGAGGATGTGAAATAAGATGTATTAGCCTCAGTTACATCAGAAACGGACAGTGATGATTCTAAGTTGCCTTCCCATCTTTGATAATTGGTCTGCTGTTTGGTGTTTTGGTATGTTGAAGTAACCAGGAATCTAGGCTATTGTAATGTTTGAGCTCTTCTCGTTAGCTTCCTGAATTAATTTTTCTTGTGGCAAGGCAAACCCTGTTTGACAATTTGTGCTATAGCACATCGAGAATTATATCAGACTGTTTGCGATTTTCTTCTCCACTTCAGCTGTTTAGCATGTAATCGCTCACTCACAGGTGAACAGTGCAGCAACCAGTATCAACACTTTTCTCATAAAAATGATAAAATAATGCATTTCTGACAAAATTATTCAGTAATAATGGCATCAATCAAACATGCTTGTATCATTATGTTATAACAAGATGGTTCTGAATACGACGCTGACTGTGCTTACATCTGCTATACCTTGGATGATGTAGTTTAGATACTGCCTGTAAAGCGACGAATCTCGACGGGTTCTATACCAAATCATGGACCGCTGGACTAGCGGTCCCGAGTGTTGTCATTTAGACAGATTTACACCCCTGTGATGCTCGAATTGTTTTGTATTTATGGTAACATACTGTATGGTTGTTCGCGTATTAAAGCTATTTTCTATTTTAATATTAGTTCTCTATTAAAGTTTCCTGGAATGCATTTTTTTAAACTTTTGGGATATCTCCCCGATTCTGTTGTCTCAATTGAATCGTAAGTGTTCTAAAATATGAACACTGCTTTACAGTTTTCGGGTATAACGATTTACAATAAAATACCCTATATTTTTTGTAATTGAATGAGTGCTTAAAATGTATTCTTAAAACGCTATGTTGACAAATTTTACGATGTATATTTGACTGCTTGTCCCATGTATCATTGCGTTCTTCAATCAAGAACAGCCGAGTGAAAAATACCATAACAGAAAAACTATATGTGACAGTTCTTCCATTGTCTTACCTTTTATTCGTACAGATTCTACAATTTTGGAACTTCGGAGGCAGTCAAGTTCTTTCAAGTTGCGAAATAATAGTTTTTAAATTTTATATGATGTTGTAAAATGACTTATTATATTATTTGTAGACTAATTCAATCGATTTTTGAGTGACTTTAGCGGGCCAGTAGTTTCGCTGATATTGTCGCCATATTTGTTGTTAAACCCACTCAAAAATCAATACTCTGAGAAGCTTTGCTCCAAAATGTAAGAATATCTTGATGTTCTGATAAAGAATAACCGTACCAAGACTGTGTTCAATTCCGGTCAACTAGCCTGTGAGTGTATTCTTTCAGCCAATTGAGTGTTGCCATGATCTGATTCAGAAATATAACAATGCAACAAAATGAGTGCGTAGACGTAGACATGCCTACGCTAGTTAGAAAATTGTTATTATGTTGCTGCTTTGAAAAATAATCGTTGAAGTCTAACTTTACACTTTCCTGCACATTTATGTTAATTTGATTTCATCAAATGATGTTACGTTTTGGAGTACACGTCTCAGTAAATTGTTTTTGTATCAACGTTGTGCGGAAGGCATGAGAGAAAAAGCATTGTTATGAAGCGTAAATTGGATTTTCTAAATTTAAAGGGACCTGACGCAATACATATTTATCAGGTTTACAGATTATATTGACTTTAATGTTTATGATACTGGTGTTTCCTCGGTAAAATTTCTACCTATCTGCCGCCGAGAGATTAATTCAAAATGACGAATCTTACCTGAAGGTTATAATAGGATAAGAAATCAGTTTTCCATTTCAATGGAATGAAGATAAATTGATATATTTTTCATTTTAAATAATTGGATTCTTAGGAAACAAATAGGTAGTAATATACTGAGGCTATGTAAAAGTTTCTAATATCTCCAAATTCTTCCAACTGGTTCCAGGTTTACACACTGAGCTGTTTTTGGAAAACAAGTAATATACTATACATGTAAAAACGAGAAGGATTTGAATTTTATGTGTAAGTAATACAATTGGCATATATGTGTGTAGACCTTAGGAACAATTATCGTTGAGTATAGCTGTTCTGTCATTTCAGCTTTCTCTACTATGGATACAAGAAACCCACGTTCAATGCCACTAAAATTTTATAAGCAAAGCAAATTTATATTTTATATTTTCCATGGTCGTTCCTACAATTGTAGGGCGCCTTTATGGCCTCCTTGATTGTCATAGTTTTCTACCTTCCCGTGTCAGCGCTCTATTTTGAGGTTATGTCACAAATATCTATTTGCATTAAATTGTGCTTGCTTTTGAGTTATAACATGTTTTATCAGCCTGAAATTTCCTACAATTTAAAAAGAAACCATATCTTCACAATAGGAGAGCGCTGACGCTGACACGGGACAGGTGCAATCTAGAATTTTTTGAAGGAGAGAAAGGAGTATGACAATCAAGGAGGCCATAAATGCGCCTACAATTTTAGGGACGACTGACCATACGGGCCTAAACCCCTACGACAGCTAAAACCACCTCTCCGCGGCAGATATAACCTGTTACTTGATTTTTCTCACAAACGTTTTTTTACTTCCCACGCCTACTGGCAAGGAAATAATGTAATCGCGAAAATTTTCAAAATCGAGATGTAGTTTTTTCGATGTTATATGACATTTACATCACCAAAAACCATGTCACTCATTTCCGTCTGGTACTTAAAGTACTTAAAGTACGGCTTAATTTCTCACATAAGCTTATTACTATGTCAAGGACGAAAAGGCTTTGTACTTTTTGGAAAAAGGGGTTAAACATGGAGGGTTAGGGGTTGCAGGGGGCAGGGATGGGTATATCTCATTTTTGTGACGGTAGTATATTGATACGCCTCCAACCCCAGTAGTTTTACGCACCTATTAGAAACATTTCACTCATGATAGATGTCCCAGTACATTTACCCTTAAAACCTACAAGTTGGTCATGAACTTTTTTTTAATGTTTTTTGTTTCTTACAATTCCATTTTATGATAGTGGTCCTCATAATATATTCACTCCACATTAAAATTTATCATCCAGTTCTTTTTTCCGTGTGCTATTTAGGTATTGGTACCTATGTACTTGTACTTCTTTTTTGCTCTAATTTGTAGTTATGTAAGATGCATATGACAATTCGTCGGTCAGCAATTAGTTACGTGAACAGCAAATTTGACCTTTCTCATGGCTACTACTATTATAGCCCCCAGCGTATCGTCGATTGCGAGGTTAACTCTGTACCTCATATATATATAAATATATTTCAGTGAGTGGAATTTTAGACTTCTGGATCAGCTATACTCGACAGACTGTACCGAGCAAAAATAGTTTATGTATGTAAAGCCACATTTCCCCTTCCACTTCCAAATAGATGTCAGCTGTTTCCATGTGGAAATGATCTATAAATATAAATTGCATGTGACAGACTATGTTTTTGTACTTTTTCATATTTTCTTAAATGTTCTTAAAGATTTTAATTTTGTGGTGTACCGAAAGAAAAATAGCGTCTAAAAGTGTTGTAGTAGTCAGTATTACTATAATATGTTACTAGCAGGTTTCCCCTTGGTTTTTTCAAATGTAGTGTTTTTTGGCAGTAATGGTTTTGTATTATTTTGTATTTTTTTATGGCTTAAAAACGACTATTCAGTCCAAATATAGCAAGAATATATATTTATATAAAAAATGTTATTTATTATAGTTGAAAGCAAATTATATAGTGTTCGATTATTAATCTAAAGACAGATTTTTTCAAAAAGAATAAAAAATTGACAGATATATTCTTATTTATATGACCTATAATAATAATAAAAGTTAAAAACCGTATAATGTTTCTTTTCTGAATACCTAGTAATAAGCCCCTGTAAAACCAAACTTCACACATCTCTGGCGTAATTAAAGCGCTAATTATAGGATTAAAGTATATATACAGGTTGAATAGGATCTAAAGGTCTGGCGAAATTAATTTCGAAAGTTCATTCCGCAAACATCTCGCACAGGACCAGTAGATGTCTTCGGAGGATTAAAAAGTTCCATTAGTTTTTCCGATATATCGTGAAGTAAAAAATAAAAACGATAAAATTTTAGTTTATATGCCTCAGTAAGCCATATTTTACATGTTTTTCGACGGCATGTAAATACGCACAAAGAAACGCAGCTTTTCCTAATTTAACCCAAGCTGTATCTCCCACAGGTATTGAGATCCCCATGCATACGATCATTGTCACACGTCACACCCTGTATAGTCTGGCTTATTAACTTTCTCAAGATTATTTGGCAAATACCTCAATGAGGAAAGGTCGATATGTCGTCGGGTGCATTGAAGGATATAGTCTGGTATAATTAATTACTCAAGTTTATTGCAAATACATAACACGAGTGATGGATTAAAATATATAGTCTAGTGAAATTAACTTCCCAAATTTATTTGGCAAACATTTCAAACCAAGTAATCGATGTCTAGTAAACTAAACGATATAGACTGCTGAAATTAACTCAGCAATTGTATTTAGCAAACATCTCGAACGTAGCTAGTCAAAGTAAATAACCCGATTGCCTAATAAACATCAAGACATATGCTTTAATTCACCGCACGATATATTAGCTCGCTTCCGAGGTGTTTGCAAAACAAACTTGCGAGATTAATTCCACCAGACCATATTCTTTAATCCATTGAATCAGTTGATCTGTAGATTATAAACGTTTTAGGTTGGTGAATATGATCGATCAGAATATTATTTATAAAACTGCACCGTTTGCGGCCGACCTTAGATGCATTTAAGGATCTTGAGATTGCAGCCACAACACAAAGAAAATGACACCAGAAAGAAAGTTTGCGCTTTGTATATGACGAGCTTAAGAAAATATTTTCTTCATCAGGAGGCACTACAAAGAATATTGTATGACAATTTAATTAAAAAAAAAACGAGAAAAACCATCAATTGTTGAACATTGATAACTCAAAGGTCCAGACAACAACTTTGATTTTAAGCTGAACACTGTTAGCTAATTAAGCATATCTATAACATGAGACTGAGTGACACTGTTATGAACAGGAAAATAAGACAGACAAGCACTTGGTTTGCGACCGCCCAGCTGTCCTATCAATCTAAGAATCTATTCAGCGGGGACGTTGGCCATCTACGGCCTGCGAAAGGAAAATTCCGTATGGGTCGCATGACCACTTTATTCAATAGTCTGGGTGGCAGATGATCCAGACCTGAGCGATCCTTGGGGAAGACGTCACCAATGGGATCTCTAAGTGTTGTGATCTTGGTGGATTGCCCGTCCTCCTATACAAAATGAAGAACGCAAAGATCACAAATTAAAATATTGATGACTATGGAACATCTCATGAAAGGGAAATTTTAAAAATATATGAATTGAAATTTGGTGAGAGATATTTTGAAAGCTAAAATAACGACTACAACCAAGTAAAACGACAATTCGGCATGCCCGAAAAAGAAAAATTTAGATGAAAGGAGACTGGAAAAACGCGCATGATATTACAGCATTGTCACGATCAAAAAAGGAAAATGCAGAAAAAAAACAGATACTGATTTTTCTAGTCTGGTGAGTTACGCTTACTTGAATGGTAAGCACAACATAGTTATTAGATCTGAACCACCACTATAGACAGTATCACAGTCGCATTTCTAGTTGTTTTATCCAATTACACTAAACTAACATTCAAAATAATTTATTTAGAAAAGATAATTGTACAACATATGTATATACCTATATGTATAAGTTTGTTTCGCATAGGCCTGCAATAACAAAGACTACCCACACAAGAAGAGAATAATTGTTTTACTTGATGCGCAGCAAATCAATCTAGTAAAGCTGAATTAACTAAGCAACACGTTATGCACATAAACATGCATTTGCATTTTACGAATTCAACATATTGTTAGATTAATCCATCTGCGGTACATTATCATACTTGGGAATTAATATTCTCTGATACAGAGAATATTCCAATGACGAAATTCATAATGAAGTTTCCATTATTGCTGAATTCAACAATATAAGCACAACTGCGGTAATGAAAAACGTTAAGACGAGAGAATGTTACTGTCCTTTAAGAGGTTTAAAATTGATGATAGTAATCATTTTGCAACAAAATACAACCAACTCATCATTTTGTTTTAGACTCCATCACTGATTATTCTCCCTTTGAATGGTTAATCTAGGATCAGAATCTTTCGAATCTACGATGATTTTGAATATGTTGCTTTGAAACATAATGGTTATGACTAGATAATAGTGCCATAATAGGATGGCAATAGCAAAAATCATTTTTAATCCATGTTATTTGTGATTTCAGTAAGGAATAAATAAATATTCTGAAGTAGGTACCTTTAAGATTTTTCATTTAATGTGTATTTTTTCAACAACACATCAGCACATGATCCGTGACTATCGTCTTAGACAATTGACAAGAAAATTGTGGTTATATAATGTTCACACTATTATATAAGTTCATTTTCTTGACAGCTATTAAAATAAAACAACCTAGGCCAAATAAAGCTTAAAATAAAACATTGATACTAAACGCCTCAACATCAGCTATAAATTTGTATAAATAGCAGAATTTTGCATTAAAAATATATGAAATAAAGAACGTGATATGTGGTAACTTATAAAACCTAAAAGTAACAAAGTCTATAAAGTTAAAAGACTGGGGTGGGAAGGATGCCCATTAATTTTATCTAAAAGGTTTGAAGAATCTAAAATATCTAACAGCAGAAAGTAGAAGTGGGAAATAACCATCGACATTTGAAGCCGTTCAGCAAAAGCAACATATTCGAAATATAATACATTAAAATATATAGTTAAGACCTACAAGTTTTCATATCACTTGGTTAGATTGATTAAATTTTTAGTAAAGTCACCAGAATGGAACCAAATTTCGTATTTTGAAGTCGAGTGTCGAAATAATACTGCTGATGAAAACTTCATTTTCCTCCATGATAATCTTTAAAGCTAATAGTTTTATAATTTACTGTTATCTGACACCGTTAATAACGTCTTCAAAGCATGTCGATTTCTCAACTCATCCAGTTAAAATACACATTGTCCACCATAAAGATTTGTATTTAGAACCAAGAGATTGAAGAGTCTAGCCCTATGACAAAAATATCAAAACCTCAGAACCCGGTTGCACTGAATGGATTCTCATAAAACCCTTCAAGTGTACTGTTGAAAGTTTAAATGAAAAAGTTGACCCATCAAATTTTTTTACGATTTATTTTTTTTAAATATGAAAGTAGGTCAAAAAATGATACGAAAAGTTTATATAAACATGGGCCAAAAAATGCCTCCTCACTGACATGCAGGGTGTTGAACTTATAATTTAAAATCGATAAAAAATTATATTTTCTGGTCGAATTAAGATATTGGATTATAATTTTGTAGATGTAGTTTGTCTTCGACAAAAATTTTCACTCCAGACACTGCACCGGTGGGGTATAAATTGGATGAGTTGGACCACTGCAGAAGGAACTTAAAATTATTTTCTGTAGTGTTGCAGCACTGGTATTCCATTTTACCCAAGTCACCTTTCTTGAGGAATTTTCTTCGGACAACTCTTTGTGGAATATTTGAGGTAAAATCCGAATAAAAAACCTAAGCCAACTAAACTAAGGCTTTTTGAAAAAATAGTAAGACCATAGACTGCATGAACAACCGCATGAATTTTGGCACATTGTTTCTTGAAAATGCGGATTTTACAAAGTAGCCTTCATCCATTTTATAGCAGTAGAGAAATATTTCTATAGTTCTAAAGTGAGTTTATAATTTTCTACTAGAAATGAGTGAATCTATTTTAATATCATATTTTCTGAGTTAAGACCACTTGAATACATGTACAGAAATTGTAGAGCTATTTATTCGTAGCGGTGGAAAATCAAAATCTATTTGTTTGATAGTGCCCACCTGCAAAATACGAAATTTGATTCCTGACAGAGCGTTTACCTAAGGTAAAAGTAGCTTTAAAAGATTCCGAATCCTGTTTGTCTAGAACCAATAACTAAGTAACATATCCAGATTTAACCTGCGTCTGTCTCGAACTATATATTTTGATAACATTCCTATATGGCGGGGGATTGGGAAATTTATCCATGCCAGTGAATAAATCTTTGAATTTCTCGTCAAGATCGACAGAAATACGCATTGAAGTGTCCCTGATTGATGAGTGCCTAGGAGGTGGAGGTGGGGGGTTTATCGACGTTATCTGGAACAAAAAATAGTTGAACAGGTATATTTTTTAAAAAAGTACAAAAAAACCGAGTGACAACAACCGAGAAGAATAAAGTTTTAGCTGTTCTATTAAATGTCAAAATTCATCAAGCCGTTTGGGCTGAAATGTATTTTTTATCCACACATACATACATATCCACGGGCGAGAAACATAACCCTCTTTCAGTGACGATCAGGAAAATCTAGTTGTGAATGGTGTACTTTCTATCCAGACAAAATTGCATTTTCAACAACTACAGTAGATTGTTTGCTCTCAAACTTGAAGAATGAAGCAGATTATTCTTCTGTTTGCTACCTTGTTCCTCTATATTGCCAGTAAGCAATTATTTTTATTCTAGACACAGCAATTATTTTTATTCTAGACGCGTATAATACGTGACCATACTGTCTGTGACTCTGAAAATTGAAGGAGCTGATCAAAGTACTAGTCCAACAAACAAAATTACAACAGAGGAGTACTTAACCAAATTAATATTAATAATAAATAAATAATAATTATAAACGTCAAAAAAATATGTATATAAAGAAATTATATAAAAAATATAATTTAACGAAAAAGGTCAAATCATTTTAGGCAGATTTAACAAAAAAAAAAAAAAAACATTTAAAATATAAAAAGGAAAGGAACAATATAAAGTAAACACTACAATTCATCTAATAGAAATTTTCTGTAACTTCTTTTAAAAGGTGACACAGACTTAAGGTTTGTGGGGACGTGATTGTACAAATGGTAGATAAAATGAGAAAAACATCTGTTAAACATACGTGGTTGGGAAATCAGCTTGCGATACCGCACATTGATACTGTGAACATCACTTGGAAATGTAATCTTATTATATAAATAAGATGGAGTTTTATACAGAGTAATTTTATGAAACAAAACTGAAGAGTGCAGATTACTCCTAGCTTCCATATTTAGCCATCCTATTACAGGTAACTTATAAGAAATATGTTCACATTTTTTCAATCCAAACATAAACCTAAGACAAGAGTTTTGGACATGCTGTATACGATCAACATCATACCTTGTTATACAAGGCCCATAAACTGAGTCGCAGTAATTGAAGAATGACAGAACAAGCGTGTCACAAAGCAAAGTCTTAAGTTCGGTAGAAAAGATATGACGATATGGAAATAACATCTTAAGCCGACCATAAGCACAGCCAATGCACTTATCAACATGCTTTGAAAACCTCAGGCCACTATCCATAATCAAGCCTAAATTCCTAGTAGCGGATGATATTAATTGAAATATGGAATGAATCTGCCACGCTCTTTTTGTGTTTCCCGAACAATAAAAAATTTGACTTGGCTGGATTTACAGATAACTGATGAGTTATGCTTTCATTTGCCAAATTACTAAGATCTTCATTTCATAATGTAACCGCATTGTTGTATCTGTATGAGAGAACGAAAATTTTATCTAGGTATCATCAGCATATAAATAAGGCTTTGAATATGCCAAACTGCTAGTAATATTTGCAGAGTAAACCGAAAAAAGTAATGGACCAAGATAGAGCCTTGAGGTACCCCACACAGAACAGGCTTGGAAACAGACACCCCAGAAGAGGTTATGACAAACTGCGTCCCCTTCGAGAAATAACTGTTGAATAGTTTAATAGCATTAACGGAACATCCCATGTATTTTAAAAAATAGAAAACATTAACTGGTGATTAATTGAATCAAATGATTTTGTGTAATCAAGCAATACAAGAGCCGCTTTATTGCCGTTATCAATATCCTTGATAATTTCGTCCGTAACATCTAGAAGCGCTGTCGTACAACTGAAACCCTTTCGACATCCTGAGTGAAATGAAGGCAGCAAATCATATTCATCTATATGAAGCAATAACTGAGATTTTATAATTTTTTCCAGAACTTTAGACAGCACCGGTAATATAGAAATTGGACGAAGATCCGACAAGTTAGATATAGTGCCTTTCTTTGGCAGACGATGACCTTTTGCAACTTTCCAACAGTCTGGAAAAGTATTTTCTATTAGGCAACAATTAATAATATGCGTTAAAGCTGGTAAAATGTGCGGACAGCATAAAAGTAGCATTTCTATATTAATACCATTCGCCCCAGTTGCAAGAGTTTTTACCTCATAAAGATATTTGTAAACAATGGCTTCAGAAACAGGTTCAAATGAAAATAACCGATCAACATCTTTACGGAAATTGCTATTGTAAAAGTGAAATTTTTCAGGATCAACATTGTTTGATGACGGGATCAGAAAATGCTTATTATCTCATTCGGATCATCAAACTCTGCAGGTATATTTGGCGTTTTAAACTTGCCAGCAATATCTAGGCTTTTCAATTTCTTCCAGATAGCCTTTGAATTCCCTCGGCAGCTGTTAAACGAATACTTAAAATATGATTTTTGTTCAGCCCTAACAGCATTGGTGGTGAGATTCCTCATTTGCTTATAATATATCAGTGATATTAAGATTTTTGCGTTTTTGAAAGGTTCCATTCCTGTCAAAATTGATTTACTTCTCCAAGAAATTAACGCACCACAGTTGTGTAGCCGTCGCAGGATGGGTGTATTTACGGTATTTTCATCTATCGGAATAAGCACCTTATACTCTGAAAATACAGGGTGACACACGGAAACCTGACGTTTTTGGGATAGTCAGTACTCTTCCGGTATGAGGAGTGGGGAACGGAATTATCGAGCATTGAGCTTCCGATTGGATGCCGTTTCAGTAGCTATGAAGCAGTGGTCAGTGGAGCATCGCATGTTTGCGTATGACACATTTGTGCAAAATCGTGGATCTGTTACTACCGTGCAGCGACTTTTTCGTGTGCATTTACACATTTACACGCTCTGAGTGTGAAGGTTTTTCGCGAATTACACGGGGATTTTCATTCAAATGGAAATGCGCCTCGTCACTCATGCAAGCAAGCTCTTTTCGTTACTTATAATCGCTTTCGTAAAGCTTTTGAAGAATACACATCTTCTACGGATGAAACTTTAAGTCGTGATGTCAAATTTTTCAAGGTTCATCCTTAGTTCCAACGCGTGTTTACGAGCAGCGCGCCCAGGACTACGAGTCACGGCGGCTCTCACATGCTCAAGATTTTCTGATGCTCTTGCCGCTCTTGTCGAACCTGGGGACTGCTTTTTCAGAATATATCCTATTATCCGTAATCTCTTAACCCAACTAAGAAACGTCTTGCGGCTGGGAACGGCATCACGACACCTACGCTGGAAATGCACACGAAAAAGTCGCTGCACGGAAGTAACAGATCCACCATTTTGCACAAATAAATAGCTACTGTAACGGCATCCAATTGGGTGCTCAATGCTCGATAATTCCGTTCCCAACTCCTCATACCGGCAGAGTACTGGCTATCCCAAAAACGTCAGATTCCGTGTGTCACCCTGTAGTATAGCTGCTCAGCTTTAGATAGATAGATATGTTAGATAGATAGATGCTTTATTGTCTTCGGATCATAGGTATGATATAAGACTCGTCAGACATATCTCTATAAGTACATTATCTACAAAATTTAAAAATATATTTAAGTATAAATACATAAATTTGTCGAAAAAGCAGCTGTTAAAATGGAAAGAATCACAGTTAGTGGAAAAAGGACAAAGGACGCATGTGCGCACGAATGAAAACATATACTCAACAAGCAGATACAAAAAATAAAACGGAACAAGGTGTATAAGAAGTAGGTAGAATAACAATAGAAAAAATAAAAGGTATGTATATATAAGTATTAGAACGCTAATATACAGGGTGACTTCGAAGTTGAGTCATTTATTTTAACAGTGAGTAGATCTGATCAAAAGAAATGTTTTTTCCTTTACCATTTTTCTGGTAAAATTAAAGTAACAAATTTATAGCCCTTTGGAAGTTTGAGAACCGCCCTGTCTCAATAATAATATCATGTACTCGTGTTTGGCAACAACGGATATAATCCGCCTTACCGGTTCATCGCATCGGAAACAAAAAAGCGAAAGAATTTGGAACGATGTTTTTGCAATGAAGTATTTTATTCAGTTCAGTTATACATACAGTCAGTGTCTGTCGGTTAGCGTGTTAATAGTGTCTGTTGCGTGGCTCAAACGAAATAAAAAATGGCACATGTTTATGCGGATCGGTTTCCCAATCGAGTGCAACCAACCCCTCGTGCCTTTGTTAATGTAGTACAACGGGCTCGTGAATCAGGTGACTTAAGACCTCACAGGGGACCTCACGATCAAATACAGGTCCGCACTGAAATACTTGTCGGGAGGATACTTTATAAAACAAGGTAACATTTTTTTTTGATTTTTTTTTTAATTTTTACACACATATTCTGGTTTATCTTCCTTCTACAATCATTATCTGAAAATTAATGACTCAACTTCAAAGTCACCCTGTATATATATATATATATATATATAGCCTTAGTTTCTTATTTAATTTTAGGTGCATCACTCTTATGCTGAAAGAAACTCAGCTACTGAGTAGTACCATTTTTCTATTAACAGATTCCTCAGCTCTTTCTTGAACCTATTTAGGCATCTAATATATTTTACTAGTGATGGCAACTTATTGAATACCTTGGTGCAGACGTAGGCTAGTGATTTTTCGAACATTGACAGTGTATGCGAAGGTATACTCAAGTACTGTTTTGATCTAGTGTTGTAGTTCGTGTTTAAGTCCTTGTTCTGCAGAAAGGGGCCCCTGTGAGTGAAGGTGTAGAGGGCGCATTTATAAATATATATACTCGGAAGCGTTAGCAAGTTATTATGCTGAAATATAATGTAAATATTAGCCTTACAATACGTTTCTGCAAAATAAACACTCTGGATGCGGTGCATGCTTGTCCCCAGACGATGGTGTGATTTGACAGATGCGAATACACCATTGCGTAGTACACATCTATGAGCGTTGATTTTGGGACATTTGGCTTTAATTTCAATATCGCATAGTAGGACCTATTCAGCTTCCTGCATCCACTGTCAACTCG